GTAACCATCATACAAATATCTGAATAAATATTTCTGAGAATGAGGTATAAAAATAGTGAGAGGGTATGTTAAAAGGTACTCAATATCACCAATCATCAGGAAAATGCTAATCAAAACCACAATGAAATATCATGTCATGTCCATTAGAATGGCTATTGTTAAAAAAGAGAAGAGATAAAATGTGTTATCAAGAGTGCAGAAAACAAGGGGGCTGGGGATTTAGCTCAGCGGCACAGCACCTGCCTGGCAAGCACGAGGTGGTGAGCTCGATTCCCGGTACTGGAAAAAAATCAAAAACAAAAAAGAGTGTAGAGAACAAGTGACTCCTGTATGATATTGGTAGGAACATAGACCTATACAGCAGCCACTGTAGAATCACATACGTTTAGGAGGTACTTGGGAAAATTAAAAATAGAACTGCCAAATGACACAGCAATCTTTCTTTTTGGTATATACTTACTTCACCATATTCAAAGTTATCTATATTCTAATGTTCAGTGTAACATTACTCACAGTAGCCAAGGTATAGAAAAATTTAAATTGTCTGTTGATAGATGAAAGGATAAAAAAGTGATATATATATATATATATATATATATATATATATACATCATGATCAACAAATACCCATACACACACGTATATATATACAAACATACATCAATACAAACACAGTTGAATACAGCAACAATATGAATGAATTTAGAGAATATTAAACTAAATTCAACAATCCAGTCACAGAAAGAAAATGTTTCATGATCTCGTCTAGACATGGAATTTACAGAAAAAAATGTAAGTGTAGAGATAGAGTAGAATGATGATTACCAGGGGTGAGAGGATGAAGGGAAAGGAGAAAATGTAGGTCAAAAGTTAGCTATGTAGGATGAATAGCGATATAATGTATATCATAAAAACTACAGTTATTAATATTGTATTGTATACTGGAGTCCTTTTTTATATTGTGATAGTGTATACTACAGCACATTTTAGATAATCTTACCACACAAAAAGCTAAATATGTGAGATGATGGATACGTTAGTTTACTTGACTATATTAAATTGTATTTTTGAAAACATAGTGTAAGTTTTTCTGTAAAATTTTTTAAGTACATTTTTTTTTAAGTACATTTTTTTAAAATAAAGTAATACCAAAGGAACACTAGAAAACAATCCTGGGAGAAATTATAGACAATGTATATAAAGAGGTAGATGTTTATCTACAGATTTGATGCAATCTCAGTCAAAGCGCTAGCAGAGTTTTTGCTTGTTTTTGGTAGAACTTAGCAAGCTGACGTTTAAATTTATATAGCAATATAAATCACCAAAAACTCATAACTGTTTTCAAAAAGAGTAATATTGGAAGACATAGACTGATTTCAAGACTTGCTATGGAACTACATTAAGCAAGACGATGTGGTGTTAGTACAACAATAGTTATATAGATCACTAGAAGAATAGTGTCTGTAAAAATAGATCCATACAAGTCAATTGATTACTGGCAAAGGAATCCAGGTAATTCAGTGTAGGGGGCGGCAGCTTTCTTTCCAACAAATAATGCTGGAAAACTGGACATCCATATGGAAACAAATCAGTTTTGACTCTTATTTTGTACCATATAAAAAACTAATGCAAAGGGGCTCAAAGGCCTAAATACATAAAATAAAATTATAAACTTATATAAGAAAACACAGGAAGATATCACTGTGACCTTGTGTAAGATAAAGATTTCTAAATAATTCAAAATCATGAACCATTAAAAAGTGACTAAATTGGATTTCAGCAAAATCTAATTATGCTTTTCAATGACAATGTTAAGAAAATTCAACGCTCATCTGTAGATTGGGATAAAATCTCTACATCTCAGACAAAAGACTTGTGAAAAGAATATACAAAGAACTCTTACAGCTAAGCAATAAGAAAAAAAGCAACTCATTTAAAAATAGCAAAATACATTAACAGATATTTTACTAAAGATTTTATACTGATAGTAAATAAACACATGGAAAATTGTTTATCATCATTACTTACAAGGGACTGCAAATTAAAAACAGTATACCGGCAAGGAAAACTAAAATAAAAATACTGATATTATTGAGTTTTCATAACTATATGGGCTAATTTAAACCCCTATAATATTAGTACTGAGAATGCAAAATGTTATATCAACGTTGGAAAAGTCTTTCATTATCATATTAACAGATTAAAACTGAATTCATATCATCATTTCAATAGATCAGAAGTTTGTTTTGTCTTCCAGGGAAAACTTGACAATCACTAGAGACATATTTATTGCCACAGTCTGGGGAAAGTGTGTGTGTGCTACTGACATCTAAGGGATAGAGATCAGAAACAGTGTTATATACCTTACAATGCATAGGACAGGCCCCCATTGAGAGCCACTTTCTAAATTCTAATTTTCCCAATCAATAGTGTATGATATTTGCACGTGGCTATAAGGTATGTATATCTAGTCTACTGTTTCTTGCTACATAATACCACACAATAAATGTCCCCATGTGGCTCTTATCCACTTCCCTGGTGATAAATTCCTAAGTTGCTTCTGACTGTACTGTACTACACATAAGACTGTCATACAGTCAACAGCCTCGTACATGCTTACTCTGGAACTCTAAGAATTTATGTGGGAAATAATTTTAGGAACAATTTGTTTGTTTTTTTTGTTGTTGTTTTTTTGGTTTTTCTCCGGTACCGGGAACCGAACTCACGACCTTGCGCTTGCCAGGCAGGCGCTTTTGCCGCTGAGCTAAATCCCCAGCCCAGGGAAATAATTTTAGGAATAGAACCACGTCGTCATACACATGCTTAATTTTTATGAATAATGCTCAGGTAGTTTCTAGAATGGCTAAATCAGTTAACATACAGTATGATGCCCAAAAGAGTTAGATCAGATCTCAGAATGTAAGCCTTTGAAAGGTCTGCTTGAAAGATTTACCCTTGACTGGCATATTGGAACTTGGATCTCAAGAGGGTTCCTCATTCCCCAATAAGACTAGTTTTGCTCTGCCTAGTTCGTCTGTACAAAAATGTGGTCTATCTGAACACCCACTTTTCTTCTGAAAGTCTGAAACTGTGGTATAAAGATTTTATACTGATTTTATACAGTATAAAGATTTTATACTGATAGTAAATAAACACATGGGAAATTGTTTATCATCATCACTTATAAGGGATTGCAAATTAAAAACAATATACTGGCAAGGAAAACTAAAATAAAAATACTAATATTATTGAGTTTTTATAAATATATGGACCAATTTATACCCCTATTATATTAGTACTGCGAATGCAAAATGTTATATCAACGTTCCATCTCATAAAAATGCCTATGAGACTATTACCACCTTTAACATCTTGAACGCAGAGCCTATAATGAGTTTCTCTGGCACAAAACATTTTACATATTGTCACAACTCATTACTATGGAAATTAAGGACATTTTGTATGACTCCACTGGAGGACTCTTGGAACCCTATGCCTTGTTTTCTCTGGACTTTGCCACGTGTATTTAATCCTTTTGTTAATTTTTCTTTTAATCTTATTTTAGTTACTTTTCTTGCTGCTGAGACAAAATAGCCAACACTCACAAGTTAAAGGAGGAAATGTTTATTTCAGCTCACAGTGTTGACGGTTCGGCCCATAATCTACTAGCTCCAAGGCAAGGTGGCATAGGAGAGGGGCATCCCAGAGGAAAAATAGTTCACAGCAGGGCAATCAGGAAGCAGCAAGCAGTGAAGCAGCAGCAGCAGCAGAAGCAGAAGCAGCAGCTACACGACAGAAGCAGCAGCCTGTGTTCTATCTTTCTCTTTATATTCCATCCAGGCTATTAGTACCACGCATACTCAGGGTGGGGCTTCTATTATCCATACTTTTAATCCCAGTAATACATCCTTAGTCCACATTCACACACCCTTAATGCAGCTACCTTTAAAACTCCCCACCTATGACCTCATGAGGCTTTGGGCGGAGATCTAGTTACAAGCCATAATAAGTCTTTTCACTATAACATATTATAGTTAGGAAACTGAAAGTTCTGTCAGCTTACTGAATATAAGAGTGATCTCAGGGACTGCTTTGACACACAATCTTATAAGCAAAGCAAGAAAATTTCCAAAAAGACTTATTTTAAATGCACACTTTGAGTATCACTTCAATATTTATCATGTGCTTATGTTACATCTTTGAAAATACTTTATAAAAATGGGGAGGAAGGTTGTAAAAAAAAAAAACTAGGTGACCTGTGAATGAGACTGAAATTATGTTACAGAACCTCAGAGGATATTCATTCAAAATTCTTCATATTCTACATGAGAAAATTAAAGCCAAAGAAGGTAACAGTTCAAAGATATCCAGATAGTCATCACAGACACAGGTCTCAAATCCCCACTGTTCTGTTTCCTAGTGCTCCTTCTGCTAAGTCTCCAGCCCTTTTCTTATATTAGCCACTTCACTTACCCTAGGGCTGTTTTCTCAATGCCTTTCAGGAGCATATTTTCTTGTTAACTATGGTTCCTCTTATTTCTCTAATTTCCCTAGGCAGTGTATATGTTGTGTTCCTCCCAGAACACTGGGTCTCATGAAAATGGAACCCAACAGAAAAAGAAGAGAAGCTAAAGAAAAATCCTACTGGTAAGTAATAGAAGGATAGGGAAGGGGGAGTGAAGTGGTAAAGAGAGAGAATCCTAAGCCTAACCATAGCACCTTCTTAAGTCCTCATAACTTACTAAAGACTAAGTGTGAAAATCAGGGCCAGAGAGAAACTCATTACGCACTGCAGGACAAAGCATCTTAATATAACCAGACATAGGGGCTGGGGATTTAGCTCAGCGGCAAAAGCGCCTGCCTGGCAAGCGCAAGGTCATGAGTTCGGTTCCCAGTACCGGAGAAAAACCAAAAAAAAAATATAACCAGACATGTCACATGCTCCTTTTGTTTCTTCCTAATAACTCTCAAAAACCTCCCCAAAGAGATAAGATGCTTACATGTTCTAGGAAGCAGGGTCCTATCTCGCTGAGGTGGGGATCATCATTGTTGTACTGTTTCTCCAGGTCTCTCACGAAGCCCATCTGAAACCTGTAGATGTCTTCAATGTTCCCAAAGATTATCTTCAGTTGCTCATCACTGAACATGTCCCTTCTCTTCCGGCACTGCTTCAGGTACCCCTGCAGACAAAGGAAAAGTCTAGGATAAAGACGACTCCCACTCCCAAGGGGCTTTACTCTTACCTAACCATTTGGGAGGCTCATTTCAATTCCACAAAGTAGGCAGGAAATAATCATTTCCACTTGTCATGTGAGGAAACTGAGGTTTAGTGAAGAAAGTCACTGTACCAGCAAATGTTTTGGAAGGCTGGATCTCCAGCAGAGTTCTTCAGAATATAAAGACTCTACAGAGACAGACATAGCAGCACACATCAGTATTCCCAGCACTCTAGGAGGCTGAGACAGGAGGATCACAAGTTGAAGCCTAGCATGGACAATTTAACAAGACCCTGCCTCAAAGTAAAAAATGGCTGGGAGTATAGTTCTGTGAAAAAGTCCTGGGTTCAACCCTCAGTAACACACACACACACACACACACACACACACACACACACACACGATTCCACAGTGTAGACCTTTCCCTACTATTCCTTATGATCATAACCAGGACCCTCAAAATCAAAGTAATCCTTCACAGAAGTAGCTTGAGTACAAACATTTTCACTGCAATATGTATTAGTTTATTTGGCTGCATCTATTCACATCTTAGAAGTTCTAACCTTATAAAATAATTCCCAAAGTCTTAATAATATTGACAATAATATGGCAACAGTGGTCAGGACAGAAAAACTTCCAGTAAGGAAACATGAACTGACATCCATTTCTTATACTTAGTATCTCAGCTATCTAAATTAGGTGGCCAGAAGAGACCATTTGGATAAGCTCAGCCAGCAAGTCCATGAATACCTGGGTATGGTATTTCTAAGTGCTTATGACACATTTGTGAATAACGGGATGCATTAATATAGCTAGTCACAGATAACAGGAAGAAGGGAATCAAAGAACTTGTTGGTCTGATAAGACAGCACTGAGGTAGTAATATAAACAGACACAGGGCAAACTGTAAATCTAGGTAAAAAGAAATTCCATAACTAAAACTGGGTCTTTCATTTTGTATCTGTTGGTGTGGATTTTTTAAACTGGTGATTACTGTCTTCATGAGTAATCATTAATACATAAAAACTTCCTTAGTGAGAATAAATTATGGTCACTTATTTTCATTTAAAAGTTAGGTGCAAGTTTCTTTTTTTTTTTTTTTTTTTGGTTTTTCTCCGGTACCGGGAACCGAACTCACGACCTTGCGCTTGCCAGGCAGGCGCTTTTGCTGCTGAGCTAAATCCCCAGCCCCTAGGTGCAAGTTTCTTAATATGCTTCTTAAGTGTTCAAGAATTCTATAGCAGCTGGTTTACCACACTGGGCCCTGTCTGTAACCATACTTTTTCTCCCTTAGCATGGCGGTAAATGAGGCTATTGAGGCATATACCAGAAATATTGTCACCCTGGCTTTAATTCTCTTTACCAACCTTGACCAAATTCTCAGTTCCCCAATACTTCACACTGCTCAGTTTAGCCATTAATAAGTAGAAGATTTTCAACAGTTTTCAAATTAATAGTCTATGCCTGTTTTGACAACTATTGAAGTAATGGCTACTGCCCTCAGTGACTGACATGTTCATGGATTCCTGTATTTTTTTTTCATATCAAATTCTTGACTAGAAAGAAGATGCCCTCCAATTCCCATAATAAACTTTTGGCTTCCCTCCCTTTACTGAAGTATCGTCCAAAATTGTTTCCTTAGAAAGCCTATAAAGAGAGGGAGTAATGTGTTTCTATGTGTCTGCCTGTGTCTGTCTGTCTGTGTCTCTTCTCATCCTACTCCCTTTGAAAGTATCTTATTTATAATCTAGTAGGGAGAGCAATGAGCATATCATCACAACATTAAGTGGGGTGGCAGAGGCTTCTTTACCCCTGATTTTACTTTCTGTCCCTAAAATAGGCTCAGGAGTACAGCTGGGAGTAAAAAATGGAAATAATGTTACACTTAGTATGTTATTTCTGGGTAAACGGTAGTTACTAGTGACTGATCACAGGGACAAACAGAAAAGTCCAGCCTGGACAGCGTATTCATCCCCTGAGAAGCCAGTTCGGGAAATACTTAATAGATTTGTCACTTCATCCATTTGAAAGATTTTGGGAAGGAGCCAAATATTATAAATCCCCCAAATGTAACAAGGATACTACAGGTCAACATTAGTAAAGGATATAACTGTTACAAGTGTTATACAATATAACAAAATTTTAAAAAAGAAGAAAATGGTCTCTGGGAAAAAGAATAAAGTGAGATGTCAATACAGGTCCTAATTTCCTAAATAAACCATTCACTCCATTATCAAGGACATTATTTTCTATTAAGTTATACATGTTGTGTTTAAGCTACATATTAGCAAGACTATGACTGCCCACAGGATGGTGAGACCCTAGAACAGTGAACCTTTTAGATTGAGTGCCCAAATTGCAACATGAAACCCATTTATTAATTGCAAAGTGTTCAAACTACAATTAAATCTGAATATTCAATGCTTGACTGCTGGGACAACTTGGCTTATGTGCTGGTAGAGAGGGCTCTCCATGTCCACTGCAGTATGTGTGCATATGTTCACCACAACTTCCCTACAGTATTTTATCAATAGTTGTTCTTTAAAGCTAATATTAGATTATAAATATATTCTGGTACATTTAGCTTCATGGAATATTACCTAGTTATTAAAACAGTTAAGACATGTGTAGAAACATGGAAGTCTTTATGATAGAATATTAAAAATTAGAAAATAAATGATATTATGATTACAACTTTTTAAATACACACACATACATGCTTATGACCGGATTTGAAGGAATTATAAATATGGAAAAGCACAAATAATTCTGTTATATTTGGTGGATTCTGATTGACTTTGTTCCTACTTTTAAACTTCTTCTAATCCTGTTTTTAACTGTCTTCATGGGTAAAAGTGACAAAAACTCTTTGTCAGAGAGTATAAAGAAAAGAAAATATAGCTGTAAGAAGGCTTCCTCTAATGCAATATTATCAGTAAAGAAGAAGAATCCAAGGTCTTCTCAAAATCTCCTCCAGCCCCACTGTTTAGAACATATAACTTGATGAAAGCAGTATAAATAATTTTTAGCAACTGGCTTTATCAAGGAAATAAGAGATGAGATGTAAAAAAGAATATGGAAGTAGTCAGAGAACCCAAAAATTTCAACCTCAACCTCTATACTATACAAATGTGTGAGCTCCTGGGAAAAGAAAGAGCAACAAGGACAAATAGTTTACTGGAGTCCTGCATTTATTTTTTATTCCCCCCGTTTTTTGTCTGGACCAATGATTATCTAATTTTCCATAGCAGAGATCAACACAAGTTTGGCTTAGGAGCCAATTATATCTTCTTATTCACTTACTTTTGAAGGTATATTAGTGTAGAATGAGCTACACATAAAATGTGACTACCCAAAAACCTGATGCAATTTTAAATTAGAAAAAAAAGTACATTAAAAAGCAAAAATGAGAAGCAATTGGAAGGTAGTCACACTATTCAGAATAGCATGAAGATCAAGAAAACACTGCACCGCCAGAGGGAGCTAAGCAGGTAAGTAGAGTATAGATGGCCTGAAAAACAACGCCATGAGGGATGATGGAATCAGGTATGTTTATCTTGCAGAACACTCAGGAGGCCTCCTGAAACCTGTCAAAGAGCAAAAAGGGAATAGAAGCAATCTATGGATCTCACTGTCAGACATGCTTTAAAAACCCTCAGATCCTAGTTTCCATCAGTAAGACAGAATAGGATGGCCTGAATTGATTCAAGAGACCAACTTTCCCAGAGCCTTGCCATTGCCTCCCAGTGGGCATGGGAGAGAAGGCAGGCCACAGAGTAATTGAGAATTTGTGGATGTGACCCAAGCAGTCACAATTGGCATGAATCACCCCTGGTATTGCTATGGTAGCAGTCAAAGAAGGTTGCTCATCCATTTTGCTTTGTTCTTAAATTCATAAGGGTTGTTCTAGAAGTCTAGATCTTGTGTATTGATCTAGAAGTACTATCTTGATATGGGCTATAAAGTATAGACAAGATTAGCAGAGGAGATCCTCCAAATCACTGGGAAATAGAATAGATCAAGGAGCCTCTGAACCATATGGAGTTTGGAAATTCTTTAAAGAAGGGCACTCACAAGTCTACATCTCAGTGTTTCTATCTCTAAAATGGAAACATAAGAAAAGATTTCCTTGGTACATTCAGGTCTAAGTTTCTAGGGGTTTCCTGTATTCTTTTTGTCTGAAAGCTTGAAGTCTGGTAAGAGATATCACAAACATACTGAGGATAATTTTTTGGGGGACACCGGGAATAAACTCAGAAACTCGCAATTGCCAAGCAGGCACTGTGCCATTAAGCTACATCCCCAGCCAAGGATGATTTTTTAAAAATTAGGGTATAATAACCATAACTGTCATATTCACAAATGTATGTACCTCACATATAGTTGCTGCTTCATATATATTTTTTGAATAAATTAGAAATTACTAGCTCTCCTCATGTTAATAGTGGCAAAAAGTAACTTAGAAGCAAGAGGTTAAAACTGTTTGTTTTCTTTTCTTCTTACCCCTATTGGACAAGAAAACCCTTCTTCAATAATATAAAATGATTTTAAAACCTTGAGGATAAGAACAAGATATTTGCCACATGGAAAACTGATAAGTAAGTAATAAACACAGTAATATGTGGACTATACAAGAAGCACCAATAAAGAGAGGGGAGGGAGAGGGAAGGCCTAGGTTGTCCAGCTAGTCTGGTGGACAGGGTAAAGTCTGGGCAGGTAGAACTTACTGGGTTGGGCACTCTAGGTTGATTAGCTACCTCACCTATCCTCATATGCTATATAAATATAGCCATTTTATGCAATGTATTATCCTTTTTATGCATATCAAGATGTGAAGATATTTGGAAAATACTAGGATAGGTAAAGTATAGAAGAAAATCCAAATGGTTAATAATTTTGAAACCTCAGGCTTAAACATATCAAATAAAAATGACTTGAAGCTACAGAATGATGATCTTACAGCA